GCATTTACTTTTAAGGGAATAACGCTGTATTTAGTACATATTCATTTTGTTTTCGCCTTTCTGTTTAAATGTTGCTTTAAGAAGTTTGCAGTGCAGCAAAAATCAGATAAGAGCGACGTGACAGATGTTTACTTTGATTACACAAACATTATGTAGGAGTAGATATTGATTAAGTAAATAAGTGGACACGAATAACGTGAGCTTAATATGTAACATTATAATACGGTATATGTCTAACTGGCTGGCAACACTCTCTTTAAAGGTGTAACAAATTTGGGGATCAGCTTAAAAGTAAGGCAGATGTGAAACGTAAAAGTGAGGTCAAATGTGATATTTAGAATCCCCATATCCTCGTAAAACCCCGCTATTAATTTTTGTCCTCTGTTGGGGGATATGAGACTGAGACCGCTACACCAAGCACCTTTTATGCAACCTATGTGACATCCTGGGCTTCTATATTTTATGGCCACAAGGAAGGTTAAGTGATATTTCTATTGCTTAGACTCAAATTTCTTCAATTTGAGGATCTTAACTTTAGTAAGAGTTCAGAAATGCACCCCATCCAAAGTGAAACTTGTATTCAGTGTCCTTTGTAGTGGATACCGGGACTTACTAGCTCACATTTTTAACCATGAGGAAGCAGAGGGCAGGATGAGGCAGAAAGGATTTTACTCAGGACGGGGAGTCAGTCTATCAGAGAAGAAGGTGGAGGAGGGCCAGACATCAGAGCAGGAAGGTGAGTGCTCAGTCGACATATTAGCTTTTGAGGAGTCTAAGCTGGCACCGACTGTCTGTAATAATAAGAACTGTTTAATGTAGGGCTCTGAAGGTTTGGGGGGAAATACACACCAGCTCAGAGTTTGATTTCTTCTTTTATCCTGTGGATTTATGAATTTATTAATATCTATGCTAAAATGCATTAAACTGTAGGTCTTCTGTCTTTATCAATTCAGTTTCAATCATACTGGAATTGGGTTGCAAATATTTTGAAAACAGGAAATCACCACAAAGGACGTCCTCTCATTACATTGAACAGAAAACAGGCAACCAGGTTTTAGAAGAATAGAGTCAGAGCTCACAAACAAGGGGGTGGTGCTCATCACTGAACTGAAAGTAGCATTAATACCATACTGAAACTGGGTTGATTTGTTTTTAATGACACATGAAAACAGGACAATGCTGCAGTATTTAAACTGAAAAATACCTAAACTGACAACTCATCACCTGACAGTGATGGGTTGGAGGTTAGAGTCCACTTCCACAGTTATGTACAAAATATTTCTCTGCCCCACTAAGCCATTATGTGATCAAACAAGACCTGATGTCCAGAAGATATAAAAAAAAAACAATTTTGGGGAAAAAACCAGCAAAGTGTCACTTTAAAACACAAATT